ATGATATAACTCCAATATTGAACAGTTTGAAGGTGAACAGATATAAATACACGGAGATGTGAAAGAACTTATAAAGATATTGATTGTCTGACCCTTCTCTCCCGCTTGGCACGATCCATCTAGCTATTTAGCATCCGTACCATTGTTGATGTGGTAGAGTTGATTGTTCACAAGGGGGGTGGTAGGTTATACCATACGGTTTTAATAAGCTATGTAGACCAACAAGCCGGCTAGTTCAGTTTTCAGTTTTATGTTCACCCCATGAAGCTGTCTGTTAATTTGCTTAAGTCGAATACCAGTCTAACAATATTTCTGTTGGAAGTCATGTTTGGTTGGAGTGGTACATGCTAGACATAGAGTTTTGTGAAACAGATGGGAACTCTATCTGCAGTAATTATTGATGACCTGCTGTTAAATATCTAAATATCAAATGCATCATATACAATATACCAGAAAATAGCGCCTTTTTAGTATAGCACCCATAGAGGGATAATCCATGCATGCAAAATGTATATAATGTTCATTTACAATGCATTGAAAGGGATGTACAAATAATATGTATGACCTGGAAAAAAGAGAATCTGCAAGATGATCATTTTGCAATATTAAGTTTAGTAGCAATCTACTTATTATGCATAACAAAGCATCTGCATAAAGGTTGGATAGGAAACGTTATTGCATTATGATGATCTTTATATGCGTTACAAGAATTGGTAATAAATGATCTATTTGCATTTAGTACAAGTTATCAATACAAGATCAGTAGGAAATTTACCAGTAGAATGAGATAAGATAGGATCAGATCTGTCACAGTGATGACAGTAATTCTTTATTCAGCCAGGATTGATATTATTCAATTTATCACTCTACTACCATCAAATTTATTCTTATACTTATACAGTTAAATTCAATTCCAACAATAGTTGAAGGAATATGTTATATTAGAACTATAGGATTCCATTTAAAGATAGAAAAATTCTCTGAACCTATTTACAAGCTTAGTATCTTAGTAAAAAAAGCACAGCTTTGTCATTGATTGGAAATGTTATAGACAGAAATTTATAACAATTTCCTATATATTCCTTGATTATCTGTGACAACATTTTACTTGAAGGAACAAGCATGTCATGTTATAATGTCACATTCCTTTTTTAATTCTCTTATTTCCAATAGTATGAAATTTGTGTAGGTTTCAGTTGGTGTTTATTCTCCATTATTTGTCACTATAAATTGAAGGTTATTTCCAACCTTTCTGTAACCTGTTATAAAATAAACTGGACGTCATACAAGTTTGCCAATTTCTATCTGTAACGGCAGTGTCGTCAGTAGAAAGTGTCATGTGTCATCCTAATACCATTATTTACGTCACGTTCGTAAAGTTTGAAACATCACATGGTTTTTCTAAGAGATTGATACAAGCCTGGTGATTTGATTTAATCCAGAAAATGGAACTTTAAAGGAACCAGTTCACTTGATTTCAGGCCAAGGTTCTCCTAGTTTAGAAATAATATAAAAAAGGAATATAATACTGAAAATTCTATTATGTATATATAGGAAGGTAGAATTAGTATTTGGCATACAAACATTGTTTTGTTTTGCTTCATAACATTATTGAATGTTTAAAAGCAATTTAGATATAGTAAGTAAATGAAAATATTGGTTTTACATTGAAATATTTATTATGTTCTTTGGAGCGTATGAGAAGATTTTAGTCCCATTCTGTAAGAGATCTAAAGTTTTCACTTTGGAATAGCTTTTTTTCATCTTTCACTTTAACAACATATTATGAAAATAATTTCTGAAAATTGAGACGAGCAGAGAATAAGTATATAAATGGTTTTTGTGCTGGCGATCTACTTTCGGTTTGTTTATCTTTCAAGTCTCACAGGTTACTGATGTGTACAGGATTGAGTACTATTGACTTTATCAGTCACTGCTCAGCAGGATTACTCAGCAGATTGTTTGCTGACATCAAACAGGAATTATGTTCATTTTTGCCCTCTGCGTCCCCAATCCATCCTCAGTACTCTGTTGTTTAAATTTTGTTTGTATGGCGGGTTTAATGTTTTTGTTAAGCCCTAACACAATTCCTTTATGTTATTGTTATTATCCTTAATCTGTTTTATTAAAGTTGTTTCTGGCATTAACTAATTTATACAATTTTTTGTCATTTATTACATTTGTTTTAAGTAAATAAATGACATATATCCTCCAAGACTACCGTTTGTTTATTTGTCAAAGAGGGAGTGAGTTGGCACAAATGGAATGCTGTAAATCAAATTTTCCATGACATAAGTCACCAAAAGGTTGTCTTGTTTTTATTTTTTTCAAAAGCCTATTTCGAAAGACTTACATATTGGATAAAACATGTCTGAGGGTTTTAAAAACCTAATAGGATTTTATGAGATAAGAAATTTTATAATGAGATCTGAGAAAAACCTAGTTCCATACCTTCAAAATTGAAATAGAAAATCCAACTCTAAAAACAGTCTTGTCATATCTCTGTCCAATTCACCTGATTTTCCTGTCTGAGTGGCAAAGAGAACAATTTGACCTGTCTCTGATATTATTTGTACATCACTCAGAAATTATGGTGGTATTGAGCCATTGTCTGGAGAGACGATCAACTGCTAGAAAGTAAATTACTCTGTAATTATTAAGTTGGCTGGATAATAGAAGATAAATTGAACAGTGTTACGTTTAGTGTCTGAGTATCGTAAGGAGAAAACTGACGAACCTGGAATATTTATTCACAATCTATACTCTGGCTACAAAAGTGCATCACCATTGATAACCATACGGTTAACACTGAATTAGTTTTCCAAACGGAAAAGGCACTTTGACATCTTTGTCTGAACAAAATGATATTGGGATCATGGTACGGCTGCAAGAATCCTTGAAGTTACGATTCGAAACACTAAACTATACTCATCCAAAAATACAATTTATTACAATAATAATTGCGATTCGTTCAATAGAAAATATCAAAAATAGTCCTATGTCACCATTTAGCACATGAACATACTTAGAAGTAAAGAATTATGAAAGAAAATTTTTGTTTTCATAGTTGTAATTGTTTGTTTTACAAATTTTGTATCAACTGTTATTAATGGGGACTTATTAATAAGCATGTGATTATTTTTCTTGAATTATTGCAGCCCTAGATCATGCAGTAATGAGACTTCTTTGGGGTTTGTGAATGCACTAGTTGCCAATACATTATCTAAGAGTTCACCTAAAGAACCAACCCTTTAGCTAACAATTTATGTCTTTTAATCCAGATAAAGTTTGATGCAAGCAATATTTATGGGAATTATTCCTTTTTTAAAGTAATACTACCTCTTAGAATAAACATAAGATTTAGATTTTCAAACTTGACCGAAAAAAGGATATGTTAAATGCGAAAACCTTAAAACAGAATCCTTATATAATCTGATAAATCCATAAAACAAAGTAATTATTCTAAAAATATTGTAAATAGTGGAAAATTCCTATCAGTGTTTTTAAATAATTACCTTGTTTTATGGATATATTGAATTATAAAGGGATTCTGATGTATAGTTATGACACTGGGTAAGTCAACTAATAAATATACATGTATGTTCTTTTGGATCAAGTTTGAAAGGTAAAATTTTATATGCATTCAATGAGGTAGTATACTTTAGATTTAACAGTATACAAAGTGCAAAGGAAAAAAGAGACGTGAAATGTCATGCAAGTTTTTGAAATCACAGAAACAGCCAATATCTTATACATAAATTCTCTCTAGGCTCTTCTTCTTGACATAAACATCTTACAATTGAGTTAATTTTGTATAGTAATTAGTCAGACAGATAGATCTCTTTTATTGATTTCTCAAGTTTAAATAATAAATTGGAAGGTCATAATATGTAGTTTGATTAGCTCAGTTCATGTCAACATTGAAACTGTAATATCCATGATCAAGATAAATTTTTATCTCATAATGAAGCTGTTGAGTGAAAAATTTTGTTTGAAATTGACTTGCATTCACAGTTACAGGAATATTAAGAAAATAGAAGGAAAAAATTCTGTGACAATGACTGATTACAATACTCACTCACAATAAAAAGTAAGGGGTGTTTGCAGCTTAAATCTTAAATGTTATGTTTTAAATAAATTGAAAGCAACTTTGAACGTAATGATAAGATTTTTATCTAATAAAAGTGAATTTATTAGGGTTTATATTACATTTGGTACAGAAGGTCTGTCTCATACTTTAAAATTACATACAGAAGTTTTTTTTTTTTACATAATTCCTGTTAGATTTGTCTACCGTAAGCCACTGAGCTGAAAGTGTCCTTGTTATTTTGATTGGTATGTCAAACATGTTTACCAATATCCAATTTCTCTGGCATGTCTGGATATCCTAATGTAATTATGACTAGTAAACTTTTCTGACAAGGATATTGATATTAGAATCGTTAGATTCCTGATAAACACAGACTTTGATTAATCCACAGTCTTCAGAAATTTTAAATTGATTCAAGACTCTTATGTCTGGAAAAATACCACGCTCAAAGACATTCTCTTTACTCCTTATTTCTTCTGTTTACTTCAAAAGATTTACATTTAAATATTCTTCTTAGATGTCTATTTAAGACCAAACAGCTGATCCATTAGTCAAAATCATTATTACAGAATCCTGATAAAATAAATAGACTAAAAAATATTAAGATATTATTAAATTGCTGACTTTCAAAGTAAAAACTTCTAGATGCTAAGATGCTAAATTGGGAATATATTTAGGCAATAGTGATTTTATTTTTCTATTGTATATATTACTATCAGACTTAGGTTTTTGAAGTAATTATAGTGGTGTCATGTCCGGCTATTTCGGGGATAATTACAGGACCTCAGACATTGGGAAATAAGAATATTATAAATAGTAGCTATTAGTATGCTAATACTAGGGTATATTTATCTTCATTATTTTATTAAACCTGTATGAGCTATATGTTATTAAATTTGTATATTTTCAGTGTAAAGAGTTTGTAAAAGCTGGAGCATTACGTGGCACGTCACCATCAGATGTTATAACATCATCAGATATAACTTTTACCTGTGTATCAGATTCACTAGCTGTTAGAGATGTAAGTATCAATGATGCAAGTCAAAGGGACTGATATGAAAATTCATTGAGGCATTTGGATTGGACAAATCAGACCCCTGTATCTTTAAAGAGAAGGCCTATGCTGCTGTCCTGGAAATGTATTCTCATTGCATACTGCATAGTTTTGTCTGTCCTCATAAGCTATAACAGACATTTGTTAATGTACCAGTAAATTGTTTTGTTATAGTGAATTTTTGTGGATACCTATATATTAGGAAAGCTTACGTATAATAAACTTTGCTAGATTGCTGGAATTATGACTGATATCTTTTTTATTGTAATATTTGTTATGAATTGTAGTTAGTATTTGGTAATCAAGGGGTATTACAAGGAATAACTAAAGGAAAATGTTATGTAGAAATGTCTACTATTGATGAAGAAACAGTTCAAGATATAGCAGAGGTAGGGTGAATAGATTGTTACAGCAGTCAAAAGTGGTTGAGGTAACTCTGTGATGCACTAATGATTATCAATAACAGTCTCCTCATTTATAGTGCCATATATGTTGCAAATTAAAAAGGTTCTTAGCCAATTATTTTTTCAAGCTTTGTATAACAGTTTATTAAATGGAAAGCATGAAATATGATTTGTAAAATGACAAACATGTCTTGTGACATTTTATCATCTGGATTGTCTCCCATTTTCCATAAAAGATTTACCAATGATTCCTTGAAAATGCTGAGTCTGCAGCATACCAGTGAAGACAGCGAAACTAATTCAACAAACATGTTCATGAATGACCACATTTCAGGATGACAAATCCAAAATACAGATAATTAAACTTGTGTTAACATTTTCCTGGAATTTTTATGGAACTTTTCAGGCAATAATGGCACGAGGCGGAGTATTTTTAGAGGCACCAGTTTGTGGAAGTCGTGTACCAGCTCTAGAGGGTCAACTAGTCATTCTCACCTCTGGAGACAGAAAACTATATGATGATTGTTATTCATGTTTCGAAGCTATGGGCAAAAAATCTTTTTACTTAGGAAGTAAGTATTGATAATCGTTTCTTAAATTGGAAAGTGTTGGATCTTGTGTCCAGCCCCATTATTCCATATAGCCCAGTTATATTGATATGGTATTAGGGATAGAGTTCTTAGTCAGTATTCTAGAGAACCGAAGTTGCAAACCTTGTTAGATATTTTCTTTGTTTTTCTGTCCTTTTGTAACCTGGGTTAAAATTTAAATGTAATGAAAATATATACCTACTCCATTGTCTGAGCATAACAGCATTTAACACTTTTAAAATTTCCTTGAATTGTGAAACCAATCTGATGTTTCATGTTATGTATTGTAATCCTAATATTCCAGATGAAGTAGGAACAGCATGTAAAATGAAGTTAGTTAACAATATGCTATTAGGCTCTATTATGAGCAGTTTGAGTGAAACTATGGCATTAGCAGAGAAAGTTGGTTTAGATCAGGAAGATTTAACAGAGATTCTTTCCCTTGGATCATTAGCATGTCCCTCCATTATTCACAAGTCACAAGGTTTGTAATTTGCTTTTTTCTTCATTGCTCTGTTTTTAAAGTGTTCTCATCCAGTCATTAAGTCCATATATTTTTAGAAATTTATATTTTCATTGTGAACAGTGATCGATTCACAAAAAACTGGTTCATTTTCAATAAAAAAACAAAAATACCGATTGATAGCAAAGTTACATATTCAAGAGCAATCATATGCTAGTAAAGATGCATGATTGGTATGCATAGCATATCACACAGCACTTTACCTGTCTTCCTTTTTTATGCCCTCATGAAATGTGAAGCGTATATTGTTGTCACCCATGTCCGTCGGTCCGGGCACAATTGCCTCATTAGCACTCTAGAAGGCACAAATCTTGACTGATTTTGACGAAATTTAGTATGATTGTTTGTTATCACCAAAGGATGAACCCCTTTTCAAATTCACTTTAGAAGGTGCAATTCTTGACAGATTGCTACCACCCAAGCATGAACCCTATAAAAAATCCGAAAAATCGAAATCCATTAAGTATGAGTTATTGTCCTTGTTGAAAATGCGTTCATATTTTAGCTCGTAAACACTTCAGAAGGCACAATTCTTGACGGATTTAGATGAAGCTTAGTGTGAGTGTTATTAATCACCCAAGGATGAACCCTATTGAATATCAGAAAAATAATTAGTATGAGTTATTGCCCTTGTTCTTGAAAATGCATTCAATTTTTAGCTTGTTAACACTTTAGAAGGTTGAACTATTGGCAGATTTTTGATGAATCTTGGTGTGAATGTTTGTAATCACCCAAGGATGAACCCTATTGAAAATCAGAAAAATCGAAAAATGTTTAATATGAGTTATTGCCCTTGTCTTTAAAGTTGCCAGTGGGCGTATATTACTTCGCCTGGCAAGCTATCTTATTAGTTGAATTTACTTTAATTGTTTTTTTAACCACACTGTTGTCTATTTGCTCATGGATCTGAAATATGTAGCTTAATTTTACTGTCATTGTCCGTACCAATCTGCTGCCTATCTGACTTTTGACTCAAAATCAGTTTGTTAGAATAGCATATGATTCTGTATGTTACTGTAAGTTATATACTAATATATGGCATGTTGTTTCTATTTTAACTTGTATGTTTTCAGCTATTATGAATGGTAAATACGACCCACACTTCCCACTACAACATCAACAGAAAGATTTACGATTAGCGATAAGTCTAGGTGACAGAGTAGAACAACCCTTACATATGGCTTCAGCAGCTAATGAGGTAACATTAATCTTAGAAACTTTCAAGCCCAGTTGTAAATTTTAATAGCAGGGTTGGTATATTATGGGAAGAACAGTTAATTTTGGTTAATTGGTATTGTGAAAGTGTAAGTTTATGCTATATTCGTGGTTGATGATGTCAGAAATTTGTCCAATAAACCCAATAATATACAAATGGATTTATCAATTGCATATTAGAGACACAATTTTCACATTAGATATTTTGAGGCAGTTATTGAGTCTAAATGTGGTCATCAGGAATATAATGGCCCTTATTTGCTATTTCCTTGGGTTTCTCATATCAAAAGTTGAATGGCTTCTAATTTTGTCATCTTATATGTTATTGAATGTCTGTATTCATTATATTATTCTGAACTTTGACATTGTGAAGACCACACTGAAACATAAGATTTCAAAACATCTTAAATTTTAGTCGAGTAAAGAAATTTTATCATTTGAAGATTTAAAACTTAATTATTTCAATTTTAATTTATTGTTTCTTTTCAGATGTTCAAAAAAGCCAGAAGTTTAGGATATTCAGAAGCTGATATGTCGGCAGTGTACAAAAGTTGTATTTCATAATGTTTCCATGGTAGCCATTACATCTCATAATTTCAACAGACATTTGTGTACATAGAAAATTATTCACCAAAGCTCATGTTATGAGAATTTAGAATTTGTAAAATGTGAACATTGGTTGGTCAGAAAAAGAGATTATTGAGTTTGAAGTGCATAAAAGTTTTTGCCAATATTTAGGTTGATGTGACAATAGAATAGAATGAAGTCAAAAAGTGGTGGTGAAATGGGAAAGAAATGCACAAAAATTGCATTAACTGCATAAGGAATGAATCCAGTTTTGCAAAAAATAACTTAAAGTGAAAAGTTAATTTTAATGCATTTGTTAGAAGAACACTGTGAAAAGAAATTTTAATATTTATGTACATTTTAAATTTAATAATGTATTTCATTTATCATATATCTTTAATTATTCATAAACATTGGTTAAAATGTATGTCACAATTTTTCTGAAACTTGTAAAATTTTGCTTACAATCATGAGGTTTGAAACTAAGAATTCTATAGTGAACTTTAGTACATGATCATACAACTTATGTTCTCCAATTGAAATTGGCTCTCTAAATTAACATTTATATTAAATGTTACATGATAAAACTAGAGAATTTGTTCAAATTGCTAGCCAGTCCCACTGTTTGTAAAAAAAAAAAAAAGGTAAGATTGTTCTTCATTATAAGTGATGAAAATTGTCATTCATGATTAGCTCTTTCAGGGAGATGAGTATAATTCCTTTTCTTGTAGTATAGTTTTAAGTGTAGTGCTATTAGATAAAAGTTTTCCAATTTTATTCTGTCAAAAAACCCTTATTATGTAGTCTTGTGCAGAAATAATGTATCATTAAAGTATAGTTTTTTTTTTAAAGATTATTGTTAAATGCTTACCTTTGCATGAAAAGATTATTGATGCCCACACATTGTCGACTCTTTCACTCCAAAATACATAAGTTTCTATATGACATCAGCAAAAAATAACTTGTCATGTATTTTTCATTGTAAATATTCTGATGTATGTATCAAAATTTTAATTAGTTGCCGTAGTAACACATTTATATTCTGTTTAATTTTCTGTTTTAATTGTTTATAATTTTATATGTGCTACTTTATTACATTAGATTCATTTTAATTTTTCATTACTTCCAGTTTTTATACCATTGTTGTGCATTGTTTTAATGTAACGCTATTATTGGTTGAGCAAAAAAGTCACAAAGTTCAACAGGTAGTATCTCAGCTGTTGGTAAACTGATCGCTTTCAAAATTCTTACAGATATACTTCAAATTGACGTTGTCCAACCCTAAAAATATGAAAGTAATCCAATAAAACTTGTATAAGTGCTGCCCTGAACAAAATATTATGTCAAAATATGCAATATCAACCAGTGTTCAATGTTTCCTCCATCTTCTTTTACCACCAATCACCCCTGTTTTTTTTTCTCCATTTTTTCTGGGTTTTTTGGGGACATCCGATATACTAATTTACTGTAACTGTATGGTCCAAAAAATTAAATCTACCTTTTAAGTAGAGCATCGAGATTATTAGGAAATAATTGTCTTTTGGTTTGATAAATTAAAACACAAAAGAAACCATAAATATTTTTCAATTGTTTTTTTGCTTGAAATCAAGTCAAGTGTCTTCTTTTCCAAGTGTTAAAATGTTCAAGACTGTCTGAAATTTCCACTCGTTGTTGTCAGATGTTAAACCAATGATTCCATAAGTCTGAGTTATTTTGTAGTGTTATTGTAAATAATTCATTAACCTGATTCATATTCAACACAATTTCTTTCTGTGTCTGTGTAAAATTGATATCTTTCATTTCATCTTTAAGAATGTATTTTAAGGCTCACATTGGAGAACAAGTAATATTTTCCCTTTGGAAGCTAATTTCAGGCACAACATGAAATAATGCATCCATTGACCTTTTGTGAATTAAGAGAACTTGTACTTGATCATTGAAAATCTTTGAACTATTGTGGTCTGAGAAAATTAGACTGAAAATCATTGTGTAAAATAATTAATATATTCTTGTATAATAATCATGAAGTACCATTGACTCATAAAGTGGTTTAATCACAATTCGCAGCTAAACCAGCCAAAATATCCAAAACATGTATTGAAATTCAGCAAATGATATTTTGACTGGTTTCTGACTAGAGAAACCTCTTTTGAATCCATTTGGTGTATGTAATTTGCCAAATAAGAAGCATGCATTATGTATCATGTATTAACTTAGATATTATTTTATAGTAAACTTATTGCAATTGCATTGTTTGTTTTAAGAAAGAAGTGAAAGAAAAAGGAAATTCCTAGTTTGAAACATTTTTGAAGGAATTATACGATTTCGTACAGTTCTGATACTTATGCAGACTATTTACGTATATAAAGGTCCAAATCAAGCTCCGAAAATGATGAACCGTGGCCTTCAGAAATGTCTTTGTAGCTCAAGGGTCCAAGAATCGAATTCTCACATGACACGACACAAGCTGCTAGTGCGACTAGGTGTTCAAAGCATAGGCTTTCAATCTCTGATTCCAATATGCAAACTGCGAGACACCCTCTGATCCACTTCCAGGGTACGCCAGTATATTTGACATTAGCTAATTAAGTTTATTGAAGTTCAATCAATTTCCACAACTTCATTTCCTTACACCCCATTGTTAAAATAACAATTAAATTGCCCCCGGTGCTGTGGTATGAGACTTGATAGCTATCTCTCACCAAGATCCTGATTTCATTGACCTGTAAGTGCTATCGTTTAATTAATTGTTAAATAATTGAATTATATTTCCCTGTCGTAATTCGTTTGACAGTGGTGGCTGAAGTGTTTGTGATATACCCTTTTTTTACTCCGTTTCCGTGAGTCAGTGTTGCAGATCGGAGGTGCTGACATGTACGTGTACTGTAGACTGTGCGTCAAAGATCCTTCAACAATATTGGAAATGAAAAAGTGTAGTGTAACGGAGCTATACATGCAATTTCCCTTAATACAAAAATGAGCTTCATTCGAGAGATTCGGACGAAATTTTCACCCCATAAACTTGAAAACATTTGAATAGAAAGTAAAAGTAGGATTTAAATAACCTGTATGAACATGTGCATCCCCCTTCCCATCCTCAACATCTGATTTCGAAGGAAACTACCAGGTTTCTGATAATGCACAATGGTTTCCAAAGGTCAGAACCAAGAAATAGAATGATTAAACGGTAGTGGTTGTTCATTGGACTCAGATTAATGAATCAAGTCAAGAATCTGAACATAACCCTATAATAAACATATTCACGTTAATGGCCAGTTACAGACAGGTTTGGAACTTGATTTATAGAGATAACGACTTATTCTTGCTCAGTTAATAAGTTTGGTCTTGTATCTAGAGATATAGCAGTTCGTTGTTATTCATCTAAGTTGAACACATTGTAAAGGGTACGATTCAGAATTGGGAGACCTATAATAGTTCTTGAAACTAAAATGTTATCCTTCGAAATCATCTGTGCCCTGACCGACTCTCCCCCAAAAGGGTTCCAACTGCCTATTTAAACGCTATTCTATAATGTAGAAATATTTACGATTATTTCACTGAAAATGTATTGATTGAATGTTAAATAATGAGATATTTCAATATAAAAAGCTGATAATGTAGGTTATATAATGTAACACCTGGCAAGTCAAATGGTGGGTCAGTTCAGACTAGAACTTTAGGGTGAAAGTCCTCTCAGGCATGATACATGCAATAATTGGTAACCTTCAGTCCCATAGCTGGCAAGATGAAATAGAGGAATCCTCAACCTGCTGCAGATTATTCCTGAACCACATAATTATAGTCCTTTAAACATTCCTGATATTGTTACGGTTTTGATCTGATAACAACAGAAAGGGATTGTAAATTGTAAAAAGATTTTCCAAATCTTGTATATTCACTGGGGACACTGATAGCATAAATTTGTACAATTCCAATTGTGGTTCCTGCAATTTCACACAAAATAATTGTTTGATGACGTCACTAATAGCGAATTTTGTTTGTACCACATATTAAGGTCCTTTGCAATTAGTGACGTCTGACTTAAAATGGGGATGGTGCTAATTGATGATGTCAGTGTCCCATATACACATAATTTTTTTTAGAAAACCTGTTTACAATCCCTTAACGATTTAGATACACTTGGTTCCTCTTAAAGGCAGAGATTCGTCATCCGCTTGACCAATTACATATTGTATTCTTTAGCTTCAGAAACAGGAATTGTTATCTGCTAAGCTAAACATAGTAATAGTTTTATCCTTCAAATCCATGTGTCCAGAATTATTTGCGTTTGAATGTTAAAACTGATCGCCATCTCTTGAGATTGTCTTTGTAGCAATAATATTGAAATAGTAAAATAAATTTTTAGTTTGAGGAATTTTTGAAGGAATCATGCAATTTTTGTACATTTCTAGTACTTCTGAATACTATTTTCATATATTCAAGACCCGAATCAACACCCGAAAATGGCGCATCTGTCCCTTTTAAAACCATGATACGAGGGGAGACATGTCGCCTTCAAACAAAGATTTTCTGGACCATGGGTATTCTTTTTCAGTTTCTTGTTCTATTGCTAGGCCTATATAATAGGCATATTTGTGACCGCTTCATACAAATCTATGTATATTTTTCTTTCAAATTTCCAGCAAAGAAATACAGTAGGCCATTTGTATCCAATTTTTAACAAAACATGCCTTCAACATAATTAATTAAGCTAAAGCTTAAAGTTAAAAAAATAAATCATTCGAGACACATTTCAAGGTCGAACAATGACAAACATAGCAAAACAGCCCGTTTCGATTCAATCATACTTGAACCATAAGATGTCGAAATGTCAAACTACTGAGATCAAAAAAGTTTATTCCAGAAACTAAAATTCTGGCATCAAGAACAGTAGATTTAACAACCATCGGATAGTTTCGCGCCAAAATGAATTCGACTGTAGGCCTACGTACGTGGAAACCTATTGATCGGTTGGTCGTGTTTGATTTTGTATACTT